CCGGCCCACGCTGCGCCTGGGCTGGGACTGGTCCCGCCGGCGCAGGGTAGCAGGAAACTCTCCGCACACTCACCGGACCTGGGCTAGGACTCGGAGATCACCATTTCTATGATTTTTTTATTTAACAGTGTTACATAAATAAAATGGAATCATACAGTATGGAATCCTTAGCATTGGCTCTTTCCATTCAGTATAATTCTCTGAAGAATGATACAGGTCACTATGTCTACCAGTAGTTTATTTTATTATTCCATCAATATTGTACAGTATTCAGTATACAAATTCTGTATATATTTTGTCAGATTTAACACCTACATCCAGCATAAAATATGTTTTTAATTCTGTATACTCACAATGAGCATATGGACACAAAAATTAAAAATATAATACTATTAACCATCATTCATATTCAGTTTTTGAGCATTCCAGAAATGTCACTTAATTAATTATTGATATTGTTGAGTTCTTCTCTTTCAATTCTTTTTTTTTTTTTTTTTCCTTGTCTTTTTGGGACAGGGTTTTATGATGCAGTTCAAGGCTGGTGTTGCAGTCACTTATGTAGGCCAGGCTGGCCCCTTACAGGGGTCCTCTTGCCTCAGGATTCTCAGGGCTGGGATTATAGGCCTGTGTAACTATGCCTGGCTCCTTCTATTCATTTAATGTTACTTTCTATTAATGCATTTTGTTCTGGAGTCTGCTTTATCTGATATTAAATCTTTTTTCCCAGGGTCTTGGGCTTGTTAGGCAAATACTCCACTGCTGAGCAATATCTTGAGTCCTCTTTTATTTTGATAATCTTAATCAGTTGCCCAAATAAATCTATCGTCCTCCTGTCTCAATCTCTCAAGTATTATGGAGGCTTCTTTATGACTTCTTTAAAATATTTGTCAGCTACCTTTAGATTAGCAGGTGTGGCAGTCTTGGATTCCTCTGATACCATCAACAGAGAAGTTGGGGTGCTTTGTTATAGCTTTACAAGGTGGACAACTAAGCCCCAGCTTAGCCCTGTTGGGCTGAATGAGAATGTTTTCAGTTGGGTTGGCTGGAATGGTTGTTATATAAACATTTTCTGTCTTTCAGGACTGGTCCTTCCAGATCCTTTGGTTAGAGAGGCTAACTTTTATTGAATTTTTTTTTTTTGTTTGTTTGGTTTGGTTTTTTGTTTTTTGTTTTTTTGTCTGCGCTTGGTCTTTCCAGATTGCTGGCTTCTTCATCTGCAAGTCTGGGCTGTATGAGACAAAAAGAAAACTCAGAGCATATACTATCATGTTCTTCCTCTTCCTCAGGCCCCAGGTTTTTCACTGTTCTGCCTTTGCCCCTCTACCTTTCAGACTCTTAATTTCTTTTACTTATAGTATCCAGGGGTTTTAGTTGTATCTAGAAGACACATAGGGAAAAAGATTTCTTTTGCATTTTTCCCAAGAGCAGAAGTCTCAGGCCCATGAATATTTTTGTTTTTGAGACAGGTTCTCACTATGCAGTCCAGGCCTGCCTTGTACTCACTGTGTAGCCGAGGTTGGCCTTGAAGTCATTTCCTGCCTCTGCCTCCCAAGTACTGGGATTATAGGTGTGTCCCGCCATGACTGGCTAGTCCCATGTTTTTTTTTTTTGTTTTTGTTTTTTTTTTTTTTTTGACGGAACCGGGGATTGAACTCAGGCCCTTGCGCTTGCCAGGGAAGCGTTTATTCCACTGAGCCAT